TTGATGGGATGATTTCGAGACCAGATTTGACTGATTTTATTATGGATGGACCCAATTGGATAAAACCACAAATACACCTCATGTCAGTCGTATCTTTGGTGAGGAAATGATGGTTTAGCTCATCAGAGAAATAACTTTAAAAACAATTTTAAACAACAGCTTTATTCTGGAAACCTGACAACAGAAAAGGTCAAAGGTCAACATCCTCCTGGCTTTGAGGACATTGAGCTGATTTCTTAGTTTCATCTTTTCCTATTCGACAGCTAAACTTCAGCCTTTTGAGGGTTTTCTTGCACGTTTCCCAGTTCTGCAGGTATTTCTCGAGGCTCTGGCATGTTTACAAATCATAACGTTCTCAAAAACAAAACCCGGGGAAGTGTGAAATCAGTTAAAGAGGTTGGCAACAAAAAGTTTCCACGTGTGCACCCGTGAAGATGGAGCTGATGTTTGTTTCCTCTGACCGACTGACGCGATGAATCTGCGTCAAAATCCTCAGTGCAAATGAGACGAGCTGCTCCACATTCGTCACCTGCACTCGTCTGTTTTCGCGCTAAAATCAGACGCCACCTGGCCGAGCGGGGCTTTTCTGCGCCTGCTGCTGGTTTCCCCCCAAGTTCAGCGTCCGTTACGGCGCTCTGCCTCCCGGGATGAGCTCCAGAGACGGAAAAACACATCAGTGAAGCGGTGGACGTTCACAGACAAACAATAATTTCGGTAAAGTGCGTTTAAATCTACGTCAGTGGAAGTGGCAGCCGCTGCAGCTTATCGGCGAGAAGGAAACACACGTGGTTTAAAATACACACCATGCGGTCGCATCGCCGTTTGAAGTCCTATTTTCAAACGAAGGGCGTTTTCAACAGTCATGGGTGTAGTTAACACCTCCGCTTCTTGTTGCGTGTGTGTTTTGTTTTTTAAATCTGCTTTTTCCTCATCTTATTTACAACAAGTGACGGCTCTGCAGCTTGTTGACGCGTGTCGGCCTCGTCGTCGACATGTCACAACTAAAAAAAGCAGAAGTTGAGATAGAAATTAGCTGCCCGGGTTTCAGGGGGGAGGCCAGGTGTTACGCCTCATTACATGTGCACAGAATGTAGGTCAAGTTTCTCACTATTACCTTTTGCATTTTTTTGTTTTTGCTTTTGCATGCGCTGTCAGCAGTGCATGCAAAGGGAGCCTAAAGAAAAGCCCTAATCTGAATAATACTGTGAGATTTTCACCTTCTGCTGTGTGTGAAGAACCTTCACACACAGCAGAAGGTGTGTGAAGAACCTTCAGATGTTGCTGAACGTCACTATGTCAGAAAAACTGAACTGAATTCAACTGAAATTTACCTTTCTGAGAATTTCCCGAGTGAAACCACAGACATGTTTTTGATGGACGGAGTTTTCCTGTTTTGATGTGAACATATTATAATAATAAATAATAATGGTTTAAAGATTTTCCGGTTACTTTACAGATAGCCCCTGTTCATGAAATTACAGATAAAAAACCCAGAAAAAAATATCTTTTTGCACGTGAACATTAGCAAACCTAACATTTTAGACTGTAAATAACGTCCACGTTAAAAATAATCTGTATTTTGAAATTTGTTGTTTTACAGAATTTCACAGTAAAATTACACGATTTTTACATTATGGAAATGAGTTAAATGTTGGTAATGTTCAGATATTTACAGATTTTATCCCTTTTGTCAATTATCTAGTAAATTAAAGAGGAAAAACTACCCATTTATATGGTTTAAAACTGGACGAAATTGTAATTACCATCAAAAATCTGTCTTGTTTTTCTCTCTCTCGCGGTGTTGGAGTGTAAACTTACAGTTTTACTGTATTTAAAATCAAAGATATCAATATTTTACAGAAATTCATTGTCATTTAAGTGAAAAATTATGTATATAGAATTTTTATCTGAAAAATTACATAAAAAGAATTAATCTACATGTTGACTGTCCCCCAAAAATAAAAAAATCAGGCCCAATTTTTTATTTTACATTTTTTAAAAATAGTAATTTGTACATGAAACTATTTTACTTCATTTAATTCAGCGAACAAACATCATATTACTGATATTTGCTGTTGTTTGAAAGAAAAACTAGTCTGTCAGGGAGTGCAGAAAACATTTACAAATTTTGAATGTTGTGTTAAATTACTGACAATAAATAAAATTACAGAAAAAAAAAGTTATACTGTAGCTTAAATATTTGTTCTTTTACAAATAAATTAGTTGTTTTACAACGTGTGACCTTAAAATAAAGTTTTATCGTATTAAAATCAGGTAAAAACGTCGTTATTTTACAGATATTTATTGTTGTTTTCACCATTTTTACAGTTTTTGGACATCAGTGTTTTGTTACCGTCTGTTTTCTGGCCTTTCTGGATCTTATTTTCCAGTTTACTGTCTTTAATCATAACTCTTACTGTAAAGGGTGTGTGTCTGTGTGTGTCTGTGTGTGTGTACGTTCAGCCACGAGTTCTGGTTTTGCTCATCTCTGCAGAGCGGTTTCTCCACGTTGAGGCTCTCCGGTTGCTCACAGGAGGCCTCACATGCTGCACATGTCGACTTGAAAGCCGCTCGGTGCCGCTCGGTGCCTCATGACAGACGGGCCCACCGCTGCACGCTCCCCAGCTCCACTGAAATGGCTCATGGTGGCAAAAAGGTGGCATGACTGAACACCAAATGCAGCAACCACAGCTGTGTGATCAGGCATACGAAACCCACGGCGTGCAGGGAGGGGCGCCTTCCCATCTAATTGGAAGTTCCTGTTTTTCTCACTTTCTGAGAAATATTGAGAAAAGAAAAAACACACAAATTGATGTGTAACAATGCCCCAGCTGGGTGCCACGGCGGATTGTAAGTGCAAGTGAGAAGTCTTGCCACACATCCTTGAAAAACATTGAGTCACGGCGCTTTACCAAACATTTACTACTGTTTTTTATTGTGTGTGTTTTGAAACAGCCTTTTCCCGCATAAGTTATCAGCTTGAGCAACACCATTTGATGTGCAGAGTGTGGAAAAGTTTAAAAAGATGCACCAGGAGTTTGTGATTAACGTGGAATTTGAAAACTCAGAGCAAATTGCTGTTTATTTTCAAGGTGACGGAAAAAAAGAAAAGAAAAAACAGGTGATGACAATCTCTGTGTGGCACATGTGTGTGTGTGTGTGTGTGTGTGTGTGTGTGTGTGTCATGGGTGTGGTGCTAGTACCTAACCTTCTTTAGGCTTTTACTTCCCCATCTGCAAAAAAAATCTGTAGTCAGCGTCCGATCAAACACTCAGCATCATCATCATCGTCAGCAGCAGCAGCAGCAGCAGAGTAAGTGTCCTGCACTCACCTCACTTCACAGCTCTTCTAATCACCTGAAATAGACTTTTTATTGTTTTTAATCAATGCATAGCAGCATAAAATGATGTAAATGTGTGGAAATACGTGTGATGATGCTGCAGAGAAGTATTTGTGATTATGCAGAAGCTGCACTCAGCTCTTGAGGCACAACTTCAGGAAAATTGATGCTTTTTGGGGTTTTTTTGCTCACATTTGATTTAAAATAATAATTTATACAATTTATAATAATAATAAATTTAAAAAGCATGCACAAAAATGTTTTATTCCTCAAAGTAATGACCAATAGTTCATTCAGACTGATTCAGGTGCACAGGAGGTGTAAAACCAGACAACAGAGTTTTATTCTAATGCAGTAATTTTGCCGCCCGGGAATCTTAAACGAGCGTTTTCCTGCATTCAGAAACAATGTGTGTTTCCTCCGTGTGATTTAAAGGCCCTCGCTGCTCAGTCATCCTGTGTTAACCGCAGCTCGGTGCAGATTCACACACGAGGGGGGCATTTAAACGAAGCCTTTTAAACTGATTGAGGAGACGGTGCAGCTCTGACAGCGACAGGAGGTTAACGTTACGGGTTGATCTGATGAGCGGCTTCGATTCACGCCGTTACAGTTTTGTCTCAGTTCTTCTTTAGACCAACGCTTTTTATCCAGTACAGTAGTTTTTATGCAAATGTGTTGGGAAAAAAAATGGATTTTACAGAATTTCACACGAGACATTTTTTCTGCTTTTTCTGTCCACGTGTTTCCAATGACGTTTAAAAGCTCATGTTAGACTTAATGTGATCTAAAATGAACAGTTTACTGTTAGAATCATAATTAATATGTTTATAACATTAAAGATCTGTCAAATATACGAGATTTCAAAGTAAAGTTACGTGTAAAAAAGTTAGATTACACTTGGTGGGAGTTCAGTAACGGCAGGTTCTTGCAGTTTGAAACCAAACAAGTGTTTTGGCAGATTTACATGAATATACATAACAACAAATAACTAATTAAATAATGTAATGTAAATAATGTAAACTTTGTTTTATTCAGGAAAAATTACTTTTTTTTTTTTTTTTTTTTTTTTTACAAAAAGTTATTTTCTGGTTTTTTACAGTAGTTTATGAGCTCCAGCTTCTAGAATATTAATGTTTTTAATTTTTTAATTTATTTGTGTTTTTTACAATGTGTGCTTATATTGTTCTAAACAATACAATGTACTAGCTGCGGTTTTTGTTTGTTTGTTTGTTTGTTTTTACAGTTTTAAGTGTTTTTGATGTGCTGTAAAGTCAAAACCTGTTTAAAACACATATTTTACATTGAAGATTTTGCTTCATATTATCTGTAATTTATCAAAAGGACTAAATAAATTTATAACAGAATCGTAGAACCAACAGTAAATTAGAGTTAAACCTTTTCCAGGCATCGCCTCGTTGTTACCAGCGAGTCTTTCTGTTGATCAAGACGCCATGTTGAACTCGTTGTCGTTTCTTTGGTCTCCTCAGGTGTGTTGATGCAGCTCTAGAGCTCCAGAGGTAGAGTGTCTGGTAGCCTGTTGACCACAGGAGTTCCACACTAATTCCTGAGCATCTCGGACAAGCAGAACCTGGACCTGAGTACAACAAGAACCTGAACCTGAACCTGAGCACCAACAGAACCTGAGCCTGAGTACCAACAGAACCTAAACCTGAGTCCCAGCTGAACCTGAGCCTGAGTATCAACAGAACCTGAGTACCACCAGAACCTATCCACCTTCATCATGAGCATCTTCTCCGCCCTCACCTCCACCTCTTCCTGCCCCCACCTGTACCACGGTTACCCCAGCAACGCCTCGAACGGCTCCACCGGGATCAGCCACGTGATCCTGCGCCACTACAACCACACGGGCCGCCTGCAGAACCGGACCATCTCCAACCAGCAGAGCCACATCGGCGCCACCGCGGCCGTGCTCCTGTTCTTCAGCGTGCTCATCATCCTGGAGAACCTCCTGGTGCTGGTCGCCGTCGTGTCCCGCATCCGCCGCAGCCGCCGCTGGGTCTACGTGTGCATCGCCAACATCACGCTGAGCGACCTGCTCACCGGCGCCGCCTACCTGGTCAACATCTGCATGTCGGGCAGCCAGACGTTCCGGCTCAGCCCGGCCCTGTGGCTCTTCAGGGAGGGGCTGCTGTTTGTGGCGCTGGCGGCCTCCATCTTCAGCCTGCTGCTGATCGCCGTGGAGCGCTACACCACCATGATGACGCCGGGGCCTCAGAAGTCCACCAGAACCACCTACTACCGGATCTACGGCCTGGTGGTGCTCTGCTGGCTGCTGGCGCTGGTGATCGGCTTCCTCCCCCTGCTGGGCTGGAACTGCGTGTGCAGCCTGGACGGATGCTCCACCCTCCTGCCCCTCTACTCCAAGACCTACATCTTCTTCTCGCTCATCATCTTCTTCCTCATCCTGCTGGCCATCGGCGTGCTCTACGGCGCCATCTACTGCCACGTGCACCGCAGCGCCCGGCTGGGCCCTCAGCGCAGCCGCAAGCGCTCGCTGGCCCTGCTGAAGACGGTCATCACCATCGTGGGCGTCTTCCTGCTGTGCTGGGGGCCGCTCTTCATGCTGCTGCTGGTGGACTACTTCTGCGCCTCCCGCCAGTGCGCTCTGCTGTTCAGCGCCGACTTCTGCATCTCCCTGGCCGTCCTCAACTCCGGCCTGAACCCCGTCATCTACGCCCTGGGCAGCAGCGACATGAGGAAGGCCATGGCCGAGCTGCTGTGCTGCTGCTGCCTGCGGGTCGGCCTGTGCCACCCGGACACCTTCACCTCCAAGGACACCAGCAGCACCTCGGAGACCCGCAGGGACAGTCTGAGGAACAGCTTCAACAAGATCCGGAACCTGAGCGTGGCCTCGCCGCCCTCCAGCCCCACCAAGCCTCGCAGGACGCCCAGGAAGAGCCGGCTCAGCACCACCACCAGCTGCCTGTCGGTTTCTAGCGGTTAGACCACAAGCAGCTCCCCTCCCAGAGACAGGGCCGTGTGCACTGACACACATCCAACCGTTTCCTCTGAGCTCTGGTGTGAACGTTCACGGCTCTGCAGAGACGCGTTTGCACTGATGGTTAAACTGTAAGAACAGCTGATGGAAATATGAAGTTCTCCTTTAGTCTGCACTGACGGCACTAGAAGAAGGAGAGACGTTCATGGAGACGTCTGGGACTCTTGTTACTGTGATGAAGCTGAGTTTGTGTTGAATGCATTAATGTACACAATATCAGGGAAAATATATCCGAGGTTCTCAATGAAGAAGCACAAAGGGTCTGTTTGATCCTGTGTACACTGTAAAAAAAAACAAGGGAAAGTGCAGAAATATTATGAAAAAAAAGGATAAAAATCTAGAAATAAGTGGTGCAAAAATAATATGGAAAAAATAGAAAAACAAATAAAGAAAAAA